ACTTGGTGCCAGGAGGACACAGAATCTCCTCCAATAAAAGCACCTCAAGCTGCTGTTCTCTGTCCCAGTGGTTCCCAACCTTTTTTATACTGCAAACCGACAAACCCATTCACAAACTTCTGGTGGACCAGTAACATCTTATTTGTATATATATTGTGCAACAAATGAATATACAAATATGTAAATAAAATAAAAACCCCAGTCTGTCAAAAACTCCAGCCCCCAGAGCTACCACGAACAGCTGCCTTCAGCTCCGCCAGCCCCCTGCCCATTAAGGTTTAGGAGCCCCTTACCACCAGACCCTTCCGTGCCAGACTCTTGTTTCCAGAGTCTCACTGCACCCAACCCCACAAGGGCCTCCCCCCAGTGCCAGCCGCCAGTCCCCAATATTAGCCCCATCCTCAGAGCCCCCCAGTGCCAGCCTTAGGCCCCCCACTACTAGCCCTGCCTCCAGAGCCCCCCAGTGCCAGCTCTCCACCCCAGAAACACCAGTGCCTTCCTGTGTCAGCATTCTGCCTCTTAGAGCCCCCCACCCCTTAAGACAACCCACAATTCAGCAGCCCAAGGGCCAGCACAGAGAGCTGGGAGAGGGAAAGGAGGCTTCTTAGAGTGACTCACATGGGGACTTTGGCAGAAAGTGGCAGGTCTCAGCATGTGGGGCGGTTGCACTGTGATTAACGCCTCTGTATTTGCACAGCTATGGCTCCCAGCAGCAACAGGTTGCACAGGAAAATTGCGCCACCAGTCACGGGTCGCTCCCACCAGTGGCTCCCAGGGATCTGCTGCTGGCCAGGGCAGGGCATAGACAGGGCAGGTGGAGGATGGAGAGGCCCCTGTCATCCCTTCACAGTGCAGCCTCGCAGGACTGGGATCCACGCTCAATGTGTGCAGGGCCAGCGATGCGGCTCTGGCTTCCTCCTTGGAACTGGCAGTTTGTCCTGTGGCAGCTCCCCCACCACAAGAGCTTCAGGCCACCTGCGTGCTGTGCTCTGCCCCGCTGGCTGACGTGACCCTCTCGCCTCACTTCCCCCCGTGCCTGGCTGCAGCATGATTGGGCTGGCACTGCACGGCACCGCCCACTTGACCTCTACCCAAGCTGCTCTGTGGGAAGGATCTTGCTGGGCTCCACGCAGCCCTCACGCTGCATAGCGAATCACATCCAGGAGGCGACTCCGCCCCTGTCAGGCGCTGGTTGGCTGAGAGGCGAGGCAGGACATGCCCCTCCCAACAGCTGCAGTGGAAGGGGAAGCACTGGGTGGTGTTCCACAGCCCTTGCCCCCAGAACAGCTGTGGCCCAGCAGTCTGTGGATTGGTGGTTGGGAACTGCTGCTCCATCCTTTCATATTCTGGGATGGAATTTGTTACAGATGTGGCAATGATCTCTCCGGTGGTCCTACCCAAGCACATCATGCAGGAGTCAGGGTCACTTTTTGGCATGCACTTAGCGCAAACCTGACAATTTTTAAGTTCTCGAGAATGTGGCATGCCATGACTCTGGATATTCTAAGGAATGAAGTGGGGGCGCCTCCCACAAACAATAACTACAACTAC